TCTCTCGTGGAGTACGTCATGCACCTTCCACGAATGATAAACCTGAGCGGAACGGCGCGCGGTCTCAGAAGAGGAGGCACCTACGACGAAATCATACGTGGACAAACAGACGTGGTGAAACGTGCTGTGCCTTTCCTCACGACTCATCGGGAATACGCGGAAAAGTCAATGCCACTCGCGCGAACGAGCGCAAGAAACCGGCCCGGTCGTCTCGTGTGAGAAACTCGTTTGAAACTCTGATTAAAATTTAATTCACCGACAATTCCGTTTCATAAAAGAAAAATAGGAAGGTTATTAAAATATATATATAAAATCTCTATTAATAGATCGCCTTCATTTAACATTCTTTAGATTTTTCTTAAGTCATAAATTTTTGCATCGGTAATATAATATCAAAATTGTTTTTCTTGAAATCAACAAGCTTAATTATTTCTATAACGAAAGACGAGTTTTTGGAAAAGGAGCTTATTAAAAAAATAATCATAGATTTTCAGAATTAAGGTTACTATTCATTCATAATGTTATAAATGTTTTGAAAAATTCTTTGATTGATTAATTAGTAAATTTATTTCCTTTTAATTGATTAATTAAAAACTTTAAAGCATTTGTAGAGTTAAGTAAATTGCACCCTAGATTTTAGATTTGTTTATCGTTTAATTTTGCGTAATACGTCACGTCGTGTTGTTGTTGCACGATTTTAATTTCTGACCTAGCGAAAATTCGGTCTGGGGCAACCGATCGGTATTTCACAACCGACAGCTTCGGCGATAAGTGAAAAATGTATGCCGCAATTGTTTCGCAACAATTACAGCAATTTTGGCGCGCTTGATTCAGGCACGTTGTGGCAAATTTCAATACCACGTTTGCTATTTATTACTCAAAATGTAATTACCGCACAAATCGATTTTGACTCACGTGACACGCTCTCGGAAAATCATTCTCGGTTATATAAGAATAAACTCAGGAGCGAGATGATCAATGAGTCTCTATCGCGAAGGAATATCCTACGTTATCTTTCAATAATTTATCGACAAAGGATTATCGATTTACGATCCACCTGTTAGAGCCGGATAAGCTTCCTGAAAATTATATCTGATCCTTATCTTTCCAAACAATTCCAGACTTAATCCTCCGGAACTGACGTCAAAATTTATAACACAGTTACTAATGCTGGATCTGTAAGGCTCATTTAATTTATGTTAATTAACATATTAATTAATTTCAAAATGACATAATTCGTATAAAAAAATAAATACTAATTGTAAGTATATAAGAATAATAAGAATATTAAAAAATTCATTTGACTAAATTAAAATTTAGTTGTCTTTATTTCTTTTATTGGAGAATGTATGTATTTAAATTAAATATAATATTGACTTAAATGCGTACATTCTTTATTTAAAAAATTAAATTAATTAAATCAATTTTCATTTAATAAATTAATTTAACCAAATGAATAATTTTTCTCAGTGAATAAATAGTAAGTATAATAAGAATAATTCAAATTTACACATGTAACATAAAGAATATTGAATTGTTTGACATTTTTGACAGAGAGATTTATAAGAGAGGTTGAAATTCATAAGAGAGATTGAATGAGTCAAATGGATCCACCATCAAAGGGTTAATCAGAAATAAAAATCTCATGTAAATTTTAAAAAATGGAAGGAACAGAGAGAAACGCTCAAAAGATTTCTTATGTAATTAATGTACACATTTTCTGATTTAATTTCCCCCCTTCCTTGTCCTGAAAAATTCAATGCCGGGAAAGATACCTGTATATTATGGAAAGGCATTTTTTTAACCCTGATCTCCACTCAATCGATTATATTACGTGTAAGGGGACAACATAAAGGAAGATAAACCACTCGAGCCACTTTGCATGATAAAATGTCAATGTTGTCAATGTCACGTCGTCTGCTGCGGGCAGACAGACCTTGGCAAAACCTTCCGGTTATTATCGATCATATATAGTCGACCTCTCGTTATTATTCTCTTTTCATCATACAAAAGTGACATAGAAGCTGTCATATGTATTGTTCAATAACTTAAGTTTTCTCGTAGACACTCGAAGAAATAATTCGAATTGTGCCAAATGCGAAGAGCAGTAGTTATCCACTCGTCTACATAGACACGTGTTTTATCATCAATCCCTAATAATAACTCGAAAATTTTCATAAGCAAATGTATTATTTAACCAACTCATCAACCTATAAATTATTACGTATAGGGAATATTATTTTAATCTAGCTAAAAAATTAGTTTTTGTTGTCCTAAAATGCTAAGAATATGTAAAACAAAAACATATTAAATTAAAAATAGCTTTCAAAAGATTTCTAATTTGTTAGTATTTAAAAAATTTCCCTTATTTAATTCACAAAATGTTATGTATAATTATAAAATCAAATTACATAATCAAGACAAAGTTGTATTACAAAATTAAATTACATAATGAAAGAAACAAAATTAATTATTTCAGAGAAGGTAATTTTTGCTTAGAGAAAGAACGATTTTACTGAAATACGTAAAACTTTAGTTAGATCTGAATGTAATTTTGTTCGACCATCAAAATATATAATTATGTAAAACGATTCAAGCTCAAGTTAATGGAACGTCTGAACTTTTTACAGCTCAGCTTAAGTATTTTACTACATAATTATTTTAATGTTTCAACAATATTATTTTTATAGATCTGTATCTGTATCTAAATTTTTAGATATTTCAGCAATACATTCTTTCCTTGTAACATCCTTTGAAATGTATCACTTCAAAATTAATAGATTAAAACTAAAAAATCTATTTTTTACCCTAAAATGCTGGGTATAAATAAAAATGTATTAGAATGGAAAAGACTTCCAACAACTTCAAATTTACTAGTATTTCATCGGATACTCTTCTTTTTCGTAAAATTTTATACACAGTACTACAAAATCATATTATATAATCCAGATAAAGTTGTATAATAACAAAACTTATTTTAAAGGAACCAAATTCTTGTTTAGATGTCAACATCTCTTGAGATGCATCACAAGTATATTAATATCAGTGGCTCAACTATTCTAGAGTTGCGAGATTACGCAAAACTTCTTCGCGGCGAGAATCAGGCAAACGGACAAAGTTTTAATTAAAATTTCCGGAATAACCAAAATGAAGATATTATCATACTATGTGAGAGTTCAAACGCGCTTTTGGGTTAACATTACCTATGTTCGCGCGACTGTATCGCGTGCGAATATCATTTATTACCGTCGGTTATTTCTTTCCGGGGTTTATCGCGATCTAGTCTGCGATTCGGAGCGATTTTAAGACGATTATTTCGTTCGGATGCCGCCGAGTCATGACAGGATACCGAGGCTAATCAATTTCTACCGCGTGGAACGTCCGCTTGTATAACGGAGCTTTAAACACCATATACATGCGGGCTCCCTGGATTAATCGCGCGCAATTGTGGCGGAACGGAAATGTGAAATAATTTAGCCGCGAGAAATTGCTGAATTCAGGCAGCCTACTCTCACGCGAAATATCGTTAAATATCTCTTTTCCAGATGCCCTGCGAAATGCAACGCAAAACTTCGGAGTAGCTTTGGAAAATCGAGCCAGTCATTAAAACCGGTTTGCTGCCAGTAAGTTCAATTCTCGTTATCGTAAATACAGACGGAAGAAAATTTACGCCATTTTCTGCTCTGAGATCACTCCTTTAATTCATCTCTTATTGTTCAAAATGTTTTATTATTACCTTCTGTGAAATTTTCATCCTTCGTCTATAACTTGGATTTTCAAACTTCAGTACAGATTTTTATATTGTTCTGTAAACATTTTTATATACATATAAAAGCTTTAAAAACGAGTTTTTATTCTCGCAGAAGTTGGATTGTATTTTATTTATTTTTTACAGATTTAAATCTACTACTATTCGTATAGTAAAAAAACTATGTCTTTAAACTTTAAAGTCTAAAAGCTTGCGGCACGCAATGCACGTTTTCATGTTTGGATTGTTTGCGTTTTAATAAATTACTACAACTCCTGTGTTTGAAATTTCTTGAAATTTTCCTGAAATTTGCATTATTTGAAATTCTGTTACGTGGAAATTCTAGTAATTTATTAAAACACGAGTAGGAAAAAATGTATCGTGTGCAGCTGGTTTAATATTGTCGGCGAAGGATTACTACGGGAAAAAATGGAATAGAGCTAAAAGCGTGAACAAAATAAAATAATTTTTATCGCAAGTGACAATGCCATAAAAGATTAACGAGATATGAGCTGAGGTCGAAAAATAAACTTCCTTCGATATTTCGCGTTCTAACGTTCTGGGCACGTATTATGGAATTGTTCGGAACGGATTCCGATCGGAATTACAATTTTCTTTAAAAAAACACAATAGAAATCTAGCAAATAATTAAATAATTCTAATCGGAATCCATTTCGAATAATTCCATAATACGTACTCAGGACATTAGAAATGTCAAAGCATGAAATATTTATGGAAATCTCTTTTTTTAATATTTCAATAAAATATTTCAGAAATATTTGGTAAACACTTGTAGAACATTTTAAAGCATTGTACTGAAATATTTCACAACAATATATATTTTAAATATATTGTACAAATATCTTGCAAGGAAAAGAATATTTTGAAAACTCTGACTTCTCCGGGACATATTTATATTTTAGAAATATTTCATGAAGAATTTTCGAAATATATTTCAAAAATCTTGCAATATTTTACAAATATTTCCGAAATATTTCATGCTGTGCGGAGCGAAGGACATGATCCTATAACGCCGTCAGAGATCGAACTACCTTATAACTAGAAACGGTCGATCAGGAGTAGCTCGTGCAAAAATCGTCACGAGCGAAGACGCGGGGGAGACTTCGGCGCCGAGCATCCTGCGGAGATTTGAACTCAACCGAAATTCCAACCGACTCGAATCGGCGTGACCGGCGCCTCCGGTCCAAACGCATAGCCGCAGCCTCACCGCGTCGTAACCGCCACTGCTTACCTGGTTCAACGTAGTCGGGATGATGTCAGGTGTCTGCGGCAGCATCGTGGCGGGCGTTATTGCGTGCCTTGCAAGTATCTCGAATCAGAGCGGTCTACCGGCACGCGCGGCCGGTGACATAATAGAGATCGGCGACGGGTGGCCGCGGAAAGAAAACACCTTGACGCGCGTACACACTATGAGATCGATCACGAGCCGCACTCCGACCGTCCTCCTCTCTCTCTCTCTCTCTCTCTGTCTTTCACCGCCCTTTCTCTCTATCGTTCGTTTTCGCCACTGTACAGATATCGCGATTCACTCGCGATACTCGCCGGAACACGCGGCAGTTACACCGACGATCGGAACAACGTGCGCGTCGCGCAGATCCCCGAGAACTCTTTTTTGTACTCGTAGAAAAACGCCGGAGAGGCAGCGAGAATCGGCAAGACGCGAAGCGTATACCCACACCTCGAGAGTCTGCGCGGGACTGACGGTTCCGGGCGGTGTAGCTGCGCGACCGAGCGCCGCCGAGTCAGCCGAGTGCCGCCGAGCGTCGCCGAACGCCGGCGGAGACGGCCGAATATCTGTCATCCCCCTCGTACATGCGGACGCGCCAACGCAGCCGTTTCGGAAACGTTACCTCCGAGGTTCCGCCTTCCTTTTTTTTTGCACGTTTACTTGAAACAGTTTGAAGAATAAATGCAAAATCTGTTTGACTATTTTATCGATAAATGTCTAACATGAAATGCGTTGTATATTAATGAATAATTATAATTTTAATCCCTTCTTGAAGTTTTAATAAACTAGTTTTAATCTTTGAGCTATTTAATTGCTCGTTTGTGTTACGTTTTTACCAATTTTATTATATTCGTATTGCACACAATTTTGAGTTGAAATTAATATTGTTATCCAACATGAAAAATTAGATCAATTGTTTCACAAAGATTTAGGAATATTGTTTCATACAACATCAATTATAAGTTATAAATTTTTAATTTTTTACGATCTACGTATAAAGATATTACGGAAATAATAAATATATTTTTATATATATTCGCAATTTTATTAGCAAACTATAGAAAGGAGTTAATAACTAATGAAATATATTCTAATCACGTTTCTCGTATTTGGTATTCAATTTTATGTAGATATACGATTATCCAACGTTATATTATCATAATTATTCTAAAAATATACATACTATACTTCAAAGAGGTTTGTGGTTACTTAATATACTTTCTTCTTTTAAATAAGTAACTCTCAAAAGAAAGTACGGAAGGATTGAATAACTTCCCTCAAAAAATAAAAATTCGCAATTCTGGTTATTGGCTATGTTTAAAATATAAATAATCATCTTTTAGAAAGGAATCTATAGAGAATTTATAACGAAGTAGAAAACAATTTTTTAGATTTGGTTTTGCGAGATTATACAATACACGCAGTAACGAATAAACTAAGTTAATACGTTCACAGAAATTCCACGCGTTTTCTTTGCAAATTGACTCTCTGTACGCGACACTCTCGTTTGTATTCGTCGTGTAACGGTTGTCGCACAGGTAATGGTCGTATCTAAAGTTGTTTTGTAAATGACAAATTCCTTTCCCTCTGACTATTTCTATCCTACTTCCATCAAGAAACTGTATTTCTAACTGTGTTTATTATATTTTTGTGTGTGGATTTATCCACTTTTTTGCCCACACTTTTTAGTCAGCTGTTTACATTGTGCTGTTCGTTTCGAAATTTCTGGTCCAAAATGTTTTTCAACAAAACACTTCAACTATTTCTCATCAAAATGTGCACAAAAAAATTTTATCAAAAGTCTACTACATGTTCAATATCGAAGACAGTATAAAAAAATGGCTCAAATTTTAAAAAATTGCTCTGTTTTCTTTTCTTTGTTAATAAGTTTTTCCATAAAGATTTAAACTTTTCTGTTTAAAAATGTATAGACGCGCTGTATAATTTATATGTAATACATTTTATTTATATGACAAAAGTTAAAGCATTGATATGTATATTATGAATATGTATTATCCATTCTAAATTGTCTTAAATGTTTTGAATAAATATACAAAGAAGAAAAAGACAATGGAATATTTTTTTTTTTACATGGATGTGTAGGAAGGGGATGCAAAGACGCGGATAAAGATGCGGGAGCGCCAGGACAAAGTGAAACAAAAGGATGCGGTTAAAAATAGTGGACCGGTTACGTCAACCGGTCCCTCCAAGGACCGTGGCCCATTATATTATTTTCTTTTTCACGCCGTCTCCACAGAATACTTCGAAATGCCAGAAACTGAGGCGAGAATAACGATAATATGTATCTCGCGCCATCGCACCGAGCATCCGTCGAAATAATTGGAAAAATTTACGAAAACTCCATACAATAGATCGTGTTAACAATAGAATGTGTTGTCACCTCTATAAATTCTCACTCAGGATTTTGCATTAATTTACGTATTGAATTTTAAATAACATTTAAAATTCTGCAATTACAGATAACCATTAAGAGAATTAAATAGTATAGTTAATTTAAATATTTGCGACAAAATGTTTTGCATGCAAAATGAATTTCATAATGCCTGCAGAAAATACATTGTAAAATTAAAATGTACGTGTTACACGCATAAAATAATATTACACGCATAAATTATTATGCGTAAAATTAATTATATTAAAAATTCAAACTTGTTTGATAAAGATAATATATTCATTAAATGTAGAAAATATTTATATTGTATTACATTATTATTAAATTGCGTTGGCCATTACAAAATTGTATAATAATAATAAAAGGCGTGTTAAGATAAGGTTAAAAGCAAGGTTAAAATAAGAAGTAAGAAGGTTAATTTTTGGATAAGAACGTTAAAAATCCATTAACAGCGAGACGAAATTTTCACGCGCCATATATTTAAATTTTATCTTAACATGCTGTTTATTATTATTACTATCATTCAAGGCACAAAGTTTATAATATCTCGTGGAACTGAATAATATATAATGGCGCGCGCACGTCAACGTGATTTAATAATAATTTAATATAAATATTTTCTACATTTAATAATAACCATTAAACAAATTTGAATTTTTAATAAAAGATTACTAAATAGTAAAAAGATAAATTTTGGATAAGAGCGTTAAAAACTAACAGCGAGGCGGAATTTCCACATGCCGCACCTGTTTAAAATAGCAATAAGTAAATTGGCTACATCATACAAGACATGAGTCATAGTGAATGAAGCTTCATTAACGCCAATGTCAGATGACGTCTTCGTGATGTTTTTTACTAGAATGAGTCGATGCTTTCCACTAACGACAGAGAATGTACGAATTCTGTGACGCAATATAAGACCGCAATATAAATACTGATGCCATTCATGCCATATTAGTCACTTCTCTCAGCTTGACTTCGTCTACGTCACACATTTATTGAAAATTGTTAATTCATTGATCGCCAAAATTAAAACTAATCGAATGAAATAAATGCTGATTCATAAAACGTCGTCTATTAAATTAATGTTTATGATAATAGTTATAACGATTTTACAAATAAATCTTAATTTACAAATCAATGCAATCAGAAAGCGTTTTTCTTCTTAAGATGTATTATTTTTTATTCTCTTATCTGATAAGGGTATTTGCATCAAAGATAGCACACTTAATAATCTCTTAGCAATATCTTCGTACATTGCGACGCCATAACTATGTAGAACTTTGTTTATTAATGTCGATGTATTATTAGGTAGCTACGAAGATAGAGAAATCAGAGAAATTTTATATACGCATATATATATTCTATTTAAAGTAACTATATATACATATATAGATATATGTATATATATCTTTAATAGGAACTTTAGAAGCATATATGCAAGTATGTTAATAAACTATTTTTATTGCATGATATGAAATAAAATACTTTTATCTCGAGCAACACATTTTCATCATAACACACTTTGCATATACGAGTATAATTTATTTGTATTTATATATCTAGGAACACTTAGATTTTATATTTTTATTTCTCTCTCATCTTTTATTTTATTTACGTTGTGCTTCACTTTAAATGCGAAATAATTTGCCGAGTTGGAGTCAAAATTTTCATTTTGAAATGCACTAAGGGGCTGCCCTTTCTTGTCTTAACTTACATGCATAAACCAATAGCTTAAATTAAAATCGCGAGCCACTTTCCTCGCGCAACTTTCTATGACCCACATCTTGAGTTCTGCCAACGAGATCGCCTTTATTCGCATCGTTGAGCGCTCAACTTCCGGAATAATTCACAGTCGACTTCCATAGATGAGTGATTCTAAATCAGTTCTCTATTTACATATCTGTACGTCTCAGCGATTGTAAATTACAATCGAATAGGTAAACCGTAAAATCGATCTCGTTACTATACGACAAGCAATTTCATTATTACTGTGATAAATTAAAAGAAATTTAAAAAAAAAAATAAAAGCGAATGTTTTATTTCCTGCGTTTCTGAAAATGCTGCACTATGTAATATGAATTTAAATTTAAACGCGCGAGCAATATAATAGCTGTAATAGGAAGCAATGTTTTGTGAGAATCATATTATACCATGTATTACACCAATGGGCTTCTAGCAATTCGAATCAAATAAATAAACGAATAAATATTCAGAAAGCGATGGCATCACGAGAAGTCCCAAAGTGCATCCATAAAACATGGTCGTTCTCGACGGAGGAAGACAGAAGACGAAGGAGGGATTCAACGAGGGTCTTCTTTCTAAAGAAACCGCGCATCTTCTTGTTTTTCCGCAGAAGGAAAACTCTTAAGAGTAAGGGATCGTTTTCACGAAGGGTGTGAGAGTATGTGGTAGCGTGTGAGGAAAAAGAAAGCAAAAGCGGTCTTTGAAAAACGATGCGTCGCACGGATGTTCGTCTTGCCACAGAGTTGAAATGACCTCGGTCAATGTCGGAGGTCGTTGCCCGACGTCGCAGTAGACGCGAGTATTGCTTTTCCTTACGTAAATGCAATTAAAAGTCGCCGCATCTGACATAAATTCATGATTTAGCATTTTCACAAGTTTTCAAATTATAATTCTACAGATTGTAGGTATCAAGACGAAATCAAAATTTATTTGAATATCAACATAGAACTTGTTAACCAATTATCTCTTATAATTTTAGATTTAAGGAGGTAATTTTAGATTTAAGATAAATATTTCAAAATAATTAAAAAAAAATATGAAGTAATTACAGATCGTACTAGATCTTATTTAAAAGAAAATTTACAAATTTAATGACGCTTTACCATCTGAACCAAAAGTTATTTCAATAAAAAGTGGTTTTTTTTTAATTTATGCTCTAACAAAAATGTATGGAAATGTATTATAAAATAGTGACAAAAATCTCCATTTTTTAATATAAATACTTTAAAAAATATATATAACAATATGGCTCAATAAAATTAAATCAACAATGGTAAAAAAGGGCTACGAGCCAA